CGAAAAACTGAGATCGAAAGATAAAAGTCTCATAATATGACTGTAGAAGATCTGAACAATGTAACAAACCTATCAATTAATTTTTTTAAGAGAATGGTAAAGCAATCGTAGAATGGAATAACGTAGTAATTTTTCTTAAAAACCTAAAATTGTATTTAAAGTAGAAGTGATAGGACTTCATATACCTTCTTCAATGATTTCAGCACAAAGACCCATGTCATTCTCCCGGAAAATAAGCCGCAATTTCAGCGCGCTCGTTCTATCTGTGCTATGCTTGCTGACAAATTGATGAAGTAAGCTCTCGTACGCCGACTGAGGATTGAGTTGAAGAAAACTCACAATTTGAGCGTTGTCACCCTGCGTAGCATTGAACCCAGGCGCGCCGGAAGCAGTTTGGGATTGGGGGGGGGGGCAAACATTCCAGGGGGCAAACATTCCAGGGGCTCACATTCAAGGGGCAGTGACGTAATGAGAAAAAAAGTCCGGAAGGGGGGGGGGGCAGACGAAAAAGCTGCATTACCACCACGTCTTACACGTCACATCGATCAGGTAGAGCGTAAATTGGCGTGGGGTGCAGGGCATGAGCCTCGGCAGGGGGTCAAGGGGCTGAGCCCCCGGAAGCTCAGGGGTTTTAGGTATTTAATTACTGTTAGATGAGCATCCAGGGGCCCTCTGTAAGGCAATTGACTTGTTTCAAGGGGGAAGCCCCCAGAAGCTCAGAGGTTTTAATATTTAACTACGGTCAGAAGAGCATCCAGGGGCCCGCCTTAGGGCCCTTGGTTGAGTCCAGGGGCAGAGCCCCCGGAAGCTCAGGGGTTTTAGGTATTTAATTACGGTCAGATGAGCATCCAGGGGCCCGCCTTAGGACTCAGGCGGGTAGACAGGGGGGCGGTGAGGGCGGTCGTCCCCCAAAAAAACGCCGGCCAAAAAAAAAGAAGAGAGAAATAAAAAGAAGAAAGGAAGCGGACGTAGGAAGAAAAAGGGTTAAGAGTCGAGAACGGTATAACGAATTGTCTTCTTTCTCTAATAATTTAATGAAACGTCAAAGCTTCCGCGCTTCGCGCGGAAGGGGGGAATTGAATTCAGATAAGGATTAAAAGTCGAGAAAGGTACAACGAATCGTCTTCTTTCTCTGATATTTCATGAAACGTCAAAGCTTCTTCGCTTCGCGCGGGAGATTCGGGGAAACTGAATTCAGACAAGGATTAAGAGTCGTTTGAGAATGGTACATTGAATCGTCTTCTTGTATTAATAATCTAATGAAACGTCAGACCTATGCGCGGAGGAAGGGGAACTTGTTGCAAACAAGGATTAAGAGTCGAGAACGGTCCAACGAATCGTCTTCTTTCTCTAATAATGCAATGAAAAGCTTCCCCCCCCCTCCCTGCACCCGCGGCCCTAGGGAGCGCGCTCTGTAAGTGATGCGCACGCTTCGCGTGCTCACTACCGCCCCCCCTTAAAATGAAATCCTGGCTACGCGCTTGCCTTAGGTCCCTTGGTGGGGTCCGGGGGCGAAGCCCCCATAAGCTCTGGGGTTTTAAGCATTTAATTACGGTCAGATGAGCATTTTTTTTACCTTAAGTTGTGACATTGGCAGGTCATTTATTTGTTTCTCCGTCTTTCTTTCTTTTTCTCTTTAACATACTCTTTAAAAAAGGAGGGGGGGGGGGTTCGAGCCCAGCCACTTTGCAGACCATGACATAAAGGCTTCCAAATAAGCGTATTTTGCCTGACTGTAATTTGGGAATTTCCTTTTTTCCAACAAACGCATAAAAAGGTATGACTTACGAAAAAAAATGGAGAAAAATGCCGGAAAATCATGTCACAACATCAACATTTGTAAATCACTGGTTTCGAATAAGAAATACATCTCCCCCCCCCCCCCCCCATCAGTACGCCAGCGTTCAGGGGCTCATGTCTTCTCACCCCTATAACAAAAAAACGGACACGCTTTCCCATTCTCGCACAATATGTCCACGATACGCGCGTATCGCTATTATAGATATCCCCATTTAAAATACCGTATAGGTGGCATGCGCAATTTTTATGAAATTTAATTCCTGTGAACTTTCCTTTTTCTTTGAATGGAATTGTACATGTGATTTAATTCAGGTTTTTATGATTGTTACGTTCTTTTGGATTAAAAATACAAACCATGTTTACTCCTTTACTGTTTTTTTTTTTTTTTGAGGGGGGGGGGCGTTTTTTTTTGTTTTTGTTTTTTTTTTTTTTTTTTTTTGGGGGGGGGGGGGGCAAAAATGCGTTTTGCCCCCCCCCCCCTCCCCCCACTTCTGGCGCCTATGATTGAACCCCATATAAACGTTTAGCTGTGCTGGGGTGACGCCGTTAATTTCTGTATCAATAGCCCGTCATTTAGAATGTTTTCATCTATGAAACCCGCCATCGCTTCCTATTAAGTGGATGCTGTAAAAAAAAAATATATATATATAAAAAATCTCTCGCAAGAATATTTTTATCGGAATATGTGTATAATCAGGGTTGCCCTGGTATAATCATAGAACAACACTGTACAGTGCAATCTATGAGGAAGTACTCTAAGTTGATGTAGTGTGTTAATTGAATGAAAAAATACCATCGTAAAACACAAAGGGAATATCAATACCAGTAGTACAATTACAGTTAAGGAAAAAAATCCTTCGTTTAAAAAATCAAGCGCTATTTAAAGGATGGTATAAAGATTACTCAGCAAAGACGGTATGAAATCACACAAGAATCGAATGAGAACGTAAAACGCATCCAGGACTTACTCATGAAATGTGTGTATTTTATAATTATGCAGGTAATGTAGCGTGCCACTTGATAATGTAACATGACCCGCGAAACCACAACTATGTATTAAATGACGTTAGTTTCTGTTTTCAATGGAGATCTTTTTTATTGATAGATACTCCAGATAACACTGAAATGAAACACAAAAGAGCATGGAGTAGAATATTTTATTGTTTAAAAAAAAATGATCGATGCCCTTTTTTGTAGTGTCGCTCACCGAATCAGATGTGCTGTGGTCACGGGCAATTCCGCATTCTAGATGACGCCAAAATGCTCTGTCTTAAGTTAACGCCATTAGTTCGAATACAGTAGGCTATCATAATCAGGGAAGTTACTGCAGATACTGTATTGGTTCATTTTGTTTAATTGATAAACTAATATTATGTGATGCACTTCAATCTGTAGTCAAAATCAATCCGCACATTTTTTAAAATTTTCATCGCCCTGATTTGACATCAATGGCCATTTTTTAAAGGGGGATGACGGTTCTCAGTGTTTAACAATTCGTCCTCTACTCACACATAATCATTGAATCATAAGACTGTATTACCTCCATCAGTATAATAACATTGGCATCGACATGAGAATAGTTAAGTTTGAGCTAAATTTCATGAGCACGGGGACTTATTTCATCGCTGTCGTTGTTCACGGTATTTTATATTCACAAGAGGAATATCTGCTTTGGAACGATTGCTTTGAGGTGATCTATAATATAGGCATTGTATAGGCATTGCAAATCACAATAATTCCGGGGATTCCCCATGACGTAGATAACAAGGTCTTTTGGCGCCATTTTACGTTACGCTAATCACTTTGTTTCTCTCCGTCTGTCTAGTTGCCAGTTTCCAGAGACATGTCTGAATAGAGTTCAGGGTACAGTAAGGAGATAAATGCTGTTTGGACTTTAAAGTCTGGACAGCATTTATTCACGCATTTATGATGGAACCCTGTACCTTGAACGTTGCATATATATGTATATTCTAGTTAAACATTTCTTAATCGGTCTGAACAATATATGTAAGGCCAAGATATGAGTCACTTATTCATTTCTTTGAGGATAGACGAATATATTTTGTCATTTTGTCACATTAATTATAGAAGCCATGATTACGCATCTCTCAAGCTATCGCTCTCTCTCTCTCTCTCTCTTTCTCTTTCTTTCCCCTTCTTTCCCTCTGTTTCTTTCCCTATCTCTCTCTCTCTCTCTTCTTTCTTTCTTTCTCCCTCTTTTCCCTTTCTTTCTTTCTCCCTGTTTTCCCTTTCTTTCTTTCTTTCTCTTTCTCCCTTAATTTGTTATCTCTATTCACATTAGCAGAAATTATCAATTTCAAACATTATTTTAATGCATTTAATGCAATCAGAACATCGTACTTGGCAAGTAAAGAAGTTGCAAAAAAAAATAGAACGTATTTTCAACCGTTAAAGTTTTAGCGCCGTTTTTATATGAACCCTACTTTTAATAAATTTGTGACGCTTATTGTTATGTTGGTGTAAACGTCTGCTATAGAAATCTGACAGATAATACCAACAAATAGTCATTGTAAAAGTATCGGGGGATTTTCGAAATGGGTCCAAAGTCTTATAACAGTGCTCAAATTTGAAATTTTGAATATAACACTCACTGTTGCTTGTGAATCGAACATGGGGGGGGGGGGGGTCAACATAATTCAATGGCCGATTTGCTACAGTTCTGCATGGCACAGAGCAGGCTATGGATCGAATTATCGTGGATTATATCACATTTTAAGAGCAATGTAATAGCTTTTTAACATATCATATATCAAATCCGGCGTTTTTCTTGGTTCTCGAATTGAAATATGGTAGTATGTGCTTAATTCATTGATTAGTCGTATTACATCAACCTAATAGCATAGGCTCAGAACCAGAGGGATGTAGTTCTTTTATTTTTTTTAAAGAGTTACCACCCTTCCGGCATTCAACAGACGGTATGATATTTATGCGAATAACATTTAGCACAGGGCGTATACTGATAACTTGTATACTACTGATTTTGTTTTTGCATGTTATAACAATGACACGCTTTCTACTTGAATATGCATTATGATAAAAGGCCAAATGCATAAACAATAAAAACAGGAAATCTCTTAGTTCTTAATGGGTGAAACGCCCATTACAAATTTATAATTTCCCTCGATTTCTTAATTACTAGTTTCTAATTTCTTGAACGATGAGCAAATTTTAAGACTTACCGAAATGCAGAATCGATGTAAACTGCGGATATAATCAAGAAAGACACCTTATGATAGCAGACTATGAGAAATGTTCTGAAGTCTTTGGTATAAACCAGATCGTTCACTGTGTAAAGAAAATGGCGCAACCGTTTACTAATAGTGCATGTAGCTCCGGTAGTCTCATTTTCGCTCGCTGGATCTGCTACAGCGCAAAAGTAGCTCGGTCGACGTCACTTCCAAACTAGCCAATCAGCTTGCAATGACGTCATATTGTATGCGGCAGCAAGTATATTTTGCTAGTTTTCTTTTGGACGCTATTGTATGTCAAATATATTTGCAGAAGCATGAATGAATGGAACACAGACAGTGCACGACCAATACAATGAATCTGGATTCTGCAGACTGCATGAGACTGATGATGTAGGCAGTAGCACGCCTCGTTGCAATTTTTATTCAGAATCCACACAGAAGAAGGCGTAGATAGGAGAACTGTTTCATGTCACAATGAGGTTACCATGATCACATTCATCATGTATAGGTATTATTATCATTATCCTTACTTACACACACAATATTTGAAAAAGATAACATTGACTTTTTTTCTCCCCATCCCACAGAAGAGACATAAAGCATGTCAAGTGCCTCAATTTTTTGTCGGTTAGCTAAAACATTTCAACACCCTCACAGCCTCCAACCCCCTTCTAAAAAAGAATTAAAAAGATCGTCTGATTCTCGTCCAGCTGAGAAGGGTGAAACTGATCGTCAGAGTTTCAATTTCTTTTTTTTATTACTCCCCCCCCCCCCCACAAAAAGTTTAAATAAATAAATATAAAATAAAAGTTCACTCATTCTGCGATCTGCCGACAAGCTTAAAAATTGTAGGGCATACCTGAAGAAAATTTACTATGAGAGAATTGCATCCCACCCCTTATAAGTAATAGACATTCCAATTAAATCATAATTAGGCTACTTGAGAACTGCTCAGGGGTAAATAGTCACATTGTTTCATAACTCAATTATTAGGCAGGAGTGTGTCTATCCCTGAATGGCGTTATTCCAATCTCAACAACGCCCATCCCCAAGATTAACTACAAAGAAGATACAAGGGTAATATTTGTTCCCGTAATTTTTGTTTGCATTATATTCAATATATAAACAATACAAATAATTTTCTTTGTAATTATAATAACATTAATTAAATAACTCAATACATGTACAATTCCTAAAAAACGATCGAAAAATTTGAATGAAATCAGTTATAATATAAAAAAAAAATCAAACCACTACCATCTGCAACTCACACATCTTCTCACATGCACAAACTATGGACCATGTCATCGATGTTTGTCCGATCTACAAATCCCCCCACGGCGCTTCCGGACTTCGCGAGCTCGATGATGAGACAATATGTTGGCTTAATAAGGATCTTCCTATCTAGATGATGTACTCCCTGATATTCTTCGCACGAACGAACGAACGAACTCACATATACGTGTACACACCACAATAACATAAAGTCACAGGCAAAGAACACCCTCGCACACCCCCAACAGCCCCCCGCCCCCACCCACACACACACACACACACACACACACCATACACAGCAAGGTAATACCTGCTCACAGTCATATTCACTTCTAATTCGTCTCATTTTAGCTCTTACAAAAAGCCCGCTAATTTCTATTCGTATATTGTAATATATAACACCCACCACCCACACACACACTCTTACACACACAAACGCAGAAATTTTTTGTTAACCATATTTTTTCATTACAGATTTTTATTCAAAATAGATAGTTACATACACATCAATGTAAATAATTCCATACAAATACAAATCTTAATTTCGTTTTCATACGACAAATACATTCATATTCATACATATAAATACTAGATGAATAGCATGAATAGTTATGGCTCCAAACAATTACAAATTTATGTAGACAATCTTCCTCCTGTAATACCGTGTGACTAAGTAAACAAGCATTGCAATTAAGTGGTATTTGATTTCACGACAAGTTATCTACACTATGCAAACAAAAAGTAATTCAAAAATAACAAAAGGATGGACGTTCATGTTTCCATTTCCTCGTCAGGCTTGTAAGCTGGATCCTGACATACTTTCTTCGTTTTTGCACCAGTTTTAGTCCCACCAGCGGCCTCTGCTACCTCACCTACAATTCATAAATAATGTATAAACTATTTAGAAAATTAAAAGGTAAACTAAAGGTAATAATTTTGTTTTGTAGAATTTTGTAGAAACTGAAAAAGTTTGAGCAAATTCCGAACAAAATAAGAGAGTGTACTTTTGAAGTTGCGATCAACCCTAAATTGGCAACTCTGTAACATATCTTGCAAGGTCCCATCCCATTTGATCTGTACTAACAAACACGAAACAATTTTCCTCATGAAGTCCGTTTTGCCTAACTATTGATGATAAGATAAATTATATTCCACCTAATAAGAATCTTGCTCTACGATTGGTCAGAAGTAAGTCAAGTGATGAAAGATAATTCGCCCACCATTGATGGAAGAAGAAAAGTTCGTTGCATTGTGTAGATAGTAGTACTATCTACACAGTGCAACGCACTCTAATTGTAAACGCTGCGTATTGCTATCCTCTTTAAGCGCTTTTAGTGTTAGTACGCGAACTTTGGTCACGCGCGAACTAGGGTCACACCACCATATTGCATACACTGTACGTTTCGTACACCGTTTGCTAGATGTTAATTGATGACTTGTTGCTTAGCTCTACAATGACGGAAGAAGTGAAATGTTTCCGATGTGGAATATAAAAGCAAATATTCACCTTTAGGTTTCAGGCGATGGCAAACTATCACTTCCTCGGCGATCTGAATGTATACGCTATCTATCCTCAGCTTCGCTTCGGAAAGATAGCTACATCCAGATCGCCTCAGAATTTATAGTTTGTCCCATCACCTTCGCCAACGGCAAGTATTTGCTTATTAGCTGTTACATCCCATAAAAAAAGCATTTTGTTTCCTCATTGCCCATATTGCCACCACATTGTGTAATGGATGGTGCGTAGCCTAGGTACTCCTTGTTGCAGTGCTCGGCTGATAGCGACAAATCGCCTTTTTTTTTTAATAGTGGAAAGTTGTGGTTGTCTCATAAAGCTTGTGGGTAGAATAGAAAGTTGTGAATATGATTACCCGGTGTGCCACAATGAGGGGACGGGAGGGGTACAGATGTGTCCACGAGTGTTTCTGCGTCTGACGGGACAGGAATTTTAAACTTCTCTAATTCTGGAGACAGAAAACATAAATATTTGTAATGGGTTAGGAACAAAATACTGATTTTCTTTTTTTCCCGTCTCTCTCTCTCTCTCTCGAATTACAATTTCATTACTTTCGCTCTCCGCTTTCGCCCCTCTCATTATTTCTCTCTCTCTCTCTCTCTCTCTCTCTCTTTCTCTCTCTTTTTCCTCCATTTTCATTTAGGGTACATATTTTTTTGTAAAATTGTGTTTACCCACTTTGAGTACAATAACAATATAGTTTTAGAAATGTTAATTATAAAAATTAAAAAATTAAAAAATTAAAAAAGAAACACATTAATAATTCATTTTTAGTGGCGTAGCTACAAGGGGGAACGAGGCATGTGCCCCCTCAATATAATAGCAAAAAGAATAAGAGCGAGGGAAGATATGATGGAAAAGTGGTTACACGTAAAATAGTACGATAATTTAAGGATATAGAATTCTCAAACTTGCTCTTCCAAATATTACCGCATGTATTTGGTAAACGTGTATCGTAGGAGACCACAAGATAAGGCTTAATTGAAATTTATTGTAAGAAGTGCATTATATGATTTTTGAAAAATGCGTTGAGTTGATCTGATCTGCGTTCTTGATGTATCGTACAGCAGGAGAGATAAATAAATAAGGGAATAGAGACAGAGTAAAACTATGTGCTCGTTTCACTTTAACATGTAATTTGATCGTCATGATTCGGGCAGTATGGTGCCTGAATATAACATTATACATTGTGTTTTTCTTCAATCTAAATGAAGTTTATACCACGTCAAAGTGTCTTCTCTCCCCCCCCCCCCCCCCCCTTGTTTGCTTTACTACTCTCAAAATGTATAAATCAGGATAATTCATGGCAACGATACGACTGAATATAAAATATACATTTCATCTGGTGTAAGAAATATAATTTTTGCAATAATCAAGGTGTCATTGTTTACTCGCTCACAAGCAGTATTTGGGATCCGGGTTGTATGACTTCGGGCAAGACGTCCTCACTTGATAATTAGTATTCATCGCTAAATTGCACACATTTTTAAATAAAAAAATTGAAGAAAAATTAAAGAGGGAAGACCTTCTTACCAGTTAAATAATATCATATTGGAGGCTGGGTGATGATTCGTTATTTTTCAAGAGTCCTGTCACATCTTGACCAGTGTGATGACATTTGATTATATGAAATGCATGGTTGTCTTTGATTTTTGAGCTCATTAAATTGTCATCATCACTATGTGGCTGTCTCCGTTATAAATTAACATACTAAAAAAAAAAATCTACAAACCTGCTTTGACGAAATCAGCGCAGGGCTTCAATTCTTCACTCTCTAGAAAGATCTGTCTCAGTTGCAGAGCACTTTCGCTCTTCCGTCCATGTTTCATAACATACTTGGAGAGGAGTTTGTCGAATGCGCCAGGTTGATTCATGGTGAGATTGGCCCCTATCGCTGCGGCATTGCCCTTGACTTTGGTGAATCCCAGTTCTACGCTAAAGTCATCTGCACGGATATTCCCAGGATTAATCAGTTTTGACAATCTCTGCACAACTCTGTCTGTCAAAATGTCTGACATCACAAGTTGCGAAGTTCTAACGCTAGACAAGAAATATACGTAATGTAATAACATTATGATTTAAATAAACGAATGAATGGATACATTTTCACTCTAACATAACATTATGTTTAGAACAAAAGGTAGGGTTTGGAACCCAAGGGCGGCGATTGCGCAATCGAGGGAATGCTTTTGAATAAATGATTTCATGTAGATCAAGCAATCAATAAAGGCTTTCATAGAAATGATAAAATGCTAAACAGTTCGTTTTGTTTATGACCTGTTGATGTTTGGGGCAAACTGCAATATTGATATATTTTGTACTGATGTACTGATAACACATTATACTAGGTGCCACTGGCGTACTGATGGAGGGGGGACTTGGGGACAGTTGACCCCGCCCCCCCCCCAATAAAATTCAAATGTGGTTTATTTCTAATTCGAAAACAAGTGATTTACAAATGTTGCTAAAATGAAATGAATTTCCGTTTTTTTTCTCTCATTTGTGCCCATTATGCCAGAGGCGGCACTCCCAGTGGGGCTGGGGGAAAAAAGGCGGCCCTCCCGCAGGAAGCAAGGGGGCACAGTACCCCCCAATTTTTAAAGCACCCGAAAAGTGCCCCTTTTTACATAGGAATAGTGCCCCTTTTACATGGACACGTGCCCCTTTTCCTTAGACAAGTTCCCATTTTCCTTTGCAATAAGTGTCCATTTTCCTTTCTCATAAGTGCCCTTTTAATCTAAAGTAGGTGCTCCAAGTTAGGTACGAGAAGTGCCTCTTTTCACATTTGATAAGTGCCCCTTAACCTCTGATAATTGTCCTATTTTATCTGAGAGGTATGTGCCTCTTTTACTTTGACAAGTGCCCCTTTTCCTTTGTAAGAATTTCCCCTTCCCCTTTTAATAACTACCCCCATTTTAACTCGGATAAGCGCACCTTATATTATCAAATGTGCTCTTTCTCCTTTCTAATAAGTGCTCCTTTTCTTAATGATAAGTGCTCCATTAAAAAGAGCCACTTCCACTTCCCATATTAAAGTACCCCTTCTCTGGTAAATTACCCTTTTCAGGCACGAGAAGTTACTCTTTTCACTTCCTATAAGTGCCTCCTTCACCTCCGATAAATGCCCCTTTAAAATTTGATCGGTGCCCATTTCTTTAAACTGATGCATATTTTCCTTTTTTACAAGTACCCCTTTTTCATTCACATAAGTGTCCCTTTTCTTATCTTGTCATTGCCCCCTTTCAGTTGCGATAAATGCCTCTTTTCACCTCTGAACATATCCCTTTTAACAATATATAATAATATCTTATAAATACCCCTATCAAAAACTGATGGGGGCCCCTTTTCCCGTCGATTATGAAATGCCCATTTCCTATTCTCCGGACTGACTTTTTTTCATCCCTGGTGAGTGCCTCTTTTTGAGGGTGTAAGAAGTGCCCTATTTTCACCTCTGATAATTACTCTTTGTACTTTGGCACATGCTCTTTTTCTTTTCTGATCAGTGTCCCCTTTTCCTCTCATCATTAAACGCGCCCTAGTTTCAAGCGACTAACAGCAATTTCCCCCAAAGCTATTTTCGGTTGAGATTTCCCTTTGTAGGTGCCCTTTTTTCCAGAAAGTGATCTTGGTGCCCCCCCCCCCCCCCACTTTGGACGTCGCTCGGCCACCGTGGGGGGGGGGGCACTGTGCCACCCACTTTTTGCAGGTACCCTTTTCCTCTCTTTTCCTCTCTGGTAAGTACGTCTTTTCAGGTGCGAGTAATTCCTCTTTTCACCTTTCCTATGTTTGCCCCCCCCTTTTTTTTTTTTTTACTTCGACACGTGCCCCCCCCCTCCCCTTTTTTTTTTTGAGCCCCTTCCCCTTTTCAAAATGCCCCTTTTAACATCTCATAAATGCCCCTATTAAAATTGGATAGGTGCCTTTATCCTCCAAAAGATTCCCCATTTACTTTCTCTCAAATGCCTCTTTTCATTTCTGTTGAGTCCCTTTTCAGGTGCAAGGAGTGCCATTTTCACCTCTGAAGGCTCTGACAATCGCCCTTTTTACTTTGACACGAGCACCTTTTCTTTTTCTAATATTGCCCTTTTCCCTTTCGATAATTGCCTACTTTTCTTTTCTCCATAACATACACCCCTAATTCAAGCGGCTTTAGAGCCCCTTTTTCTTTAATTTCCCCTACAGCTCAATCGCATTTATAGATGTTATAATTATGTTACTTATAAAAGAACTTTTCAGTCTGTCTTCATTAGATTGTGTTTAATACTCATCAGGGTTTTTTTTTCTGGTGTTCTTTATAAGATGTAATTTTTTTGCACTGGGACCTCACAATTCTTAATTTGTTTGCTAGCTCGCTTCACTCGCTCGAAAATTAATATTTAGATATTTACACCTAACTGCAAAGTATGCTCCCTAATTAGACAGTATCTTGTACCACGTAAAGAAAGAAACAAATATTGATATCATCCCTGGAAGTGTAATCACAATCATGACGATGTAAGAGTATATACCAATGTTTAAAAATTATGTAGGTTTTGTTGATGTTTTCCTTTGTAGGTGCCCTTTTTTCTTCCAGAAAGTGCCCTTTTTGTTGCCACCTCCCTATTTTGGAAGGCGCTCCGCCGCCCCTGCGTTATTCTACTTGGTGGTGATAAGGATTTTGTTCTGACCCCCCACAAGTTTTTGGTCATTACGCCACTGCTAGGAACCTGGAAGCGATTTCTGCACCAGACATGGTAGGGATGCGATGTAGTGCGCGTACGGTTTCCTAATGTGAAGGGCAAGGCTACTGAAGTTCTAGGGTTGATTTCCCAAAAGCCTTTGCGATCATTTTCCCAGCTTACCAAGCTTTGAAATTTAAGTTCTTTGCATACATTTTTTTTTTAACGTGATAAATTACTGGAATTTAACATAAAAGAGTAGTTTAGCCCATATATCATGGAGACGTCAATTCGACAAATATTGAAAACATACATTTTCCAACAATAAAATAACTCAAGGGAAGTCTCAATGCCATACTGCACCGCCCATAAAAACCACGATCGGATGACGGAATTTTTTCCATAATTGTAATACACTGTATTGGCAGATCTGAAAAGGTGACCGACACGGCTATTGAAGTTGCCTTCCTTTAATTTTTTTTCAAAAGAACTTGGATTTCCAACATGATTGCCCTTTATTCAGCTATTGATGATAGCAAACACATCAAAGCATCCACTCATGAATGGTTTACAACAAAGTGTATTGTGCTCTTACAATATGCTCTTGTAGAATCTTTAGCTATTATACTTTAGTGGGGAAAATCCCCTATTCACAATGTTGAAATAAAACAGATGTATAATGGCACACTGATAACACGTTTGTCGGGGCAAAGTACATTAAATATTAGTATATCAATACAAGTCAATGAGGCAATGAGCAATAATTCTAGATGTCATGCAAAATTTGAAAAGCATATCGTCTAATTACTAAACAGATTTGCTGATATTTTCAACAATCTTTTTTAGAATATTTTGAATCTATTTTATATTTGTGATCTGTGTTTTCTTTTATTTTAAATCCATTATTATCAATTTCATTATAAACTGCTCAATTTATAGACACACATACCTAATAAATTATTGATCCTGAGAGATTTATTCAAGTCTTGCCCATAAATCTACAAGATTCCCCACTAAAGTGTATGAGAGAATCTTTCCAACAAAAGCTTTGGGCATGATACATGTAGGTAGAAGATAATTCCTAAGCCTCGCAGTTACTTTTCAACCTGACGTCATTGAAATGAATATGTATATATAAACCAACCACAGGGTGTGCACATAGTCTATTTTCAATTGTTTCCGCTGCAGGGTCAGTGCATAGATATCATAGTCACTGATGTAAATTTTCATAACAAACATTGTTGGCGGGGGGGGGGGGGTTGCCAGTTTTTGTCATTGTTAAATTATTGTGCTAGGTGTAGTAATAAGGTCGTGATTTAAAAACATTTTTGTTTACAGGGGTTGATAGGATAATTCATATGTTGGTCTATTTCTTCCACCGTTTATTAGCTATTCAGGTTGTACTGTTTAAGTTTCGTTTCCACATGATAAGCCATGGTTCACCATTCGTGCCCGAAAAGAAAAAAAAATCGCAATCAAAAACAATTATTTGATGCAGCATCAAAGTATACCACCCATTTCGAATATCTCTGTTACTCTATCTCTCTGTCTCCCTGTCTCTCTACCTCTTTATTCAGATATTGTGTCTGTTTATATTATGTGCAGTTCCTTTTGAGAGAAAAAATAATTAGTGGCGATGCTGCTGAAAAAAATGACCGGGGGCATTGTCCCAAATTGCATCCTCTGGTTTCAACGATGGTTCTTCGTAAATATCAATCTTGGAATGCATGAATTAATTAACATTACTGTAGAATGCAGTTGAACAATTCAATTCAACTATATTTCACAAATGCGAATCATATAAAAAATGATATACAATATATTGACATTTCCAATCAAACACATACATAAAATACATATATATATTGGTTCAGTCAGTAGAGCATCTGCCTCACAACCGGGAGGTCATGGGTTCGAACCCCGGCCGCGTCATACTAAAAGACGTTAAAAGACGGGAGTTGCTGCTACCTTGTTTGGCGTTTGGCTGCCGGGCTCACGATCAATTGGACAAAAAGAATTTCCAATTTCGGTTTAATAAAATTTGGAGTGGACTAAAATATTATTATTATTATTATTATTATTATATATTGAGAGGATTATATAAAATAAGTCCATGTAAATATGACCGCTTTAAATGTTAATACAATCCATTTACAATATCAGAGATAAGATCAAAATTAAATTCAAATCACATTGCCTAGATATATTTACCGGTGCCAGGTAAAAATGTCAGAGAAAAAAATGTCAGAGGTAAAAATGTCAGAGGAAAAAATGTCAGAGGTAAAAATGTCAGAGGTAAAAATGTCAGAGGTAAAAATGTCAGAGGTAAAAATGTCAGAGGAAAAAATATCAGAGGTAAAAAT